TGTGGTATGACATTTATATCACTGTTTGAAACGTTTTTTATCACCTTTTCAACATTCAACTGACGAGCCTAAATGGATCGAAATGCGAGTCCTGGATTCAACTGATGGTCAAAATTCATTGCATCTATGTAGATTTCCTTTGGTTTCAGCAGCAACATAGTAATTAGTAAGTCGGCAACTATTTGAACGACAAATCGGTAATATCGTCAAGTTATATTCACTTTATATATAGTCTCCTAGACACTGGTAGAATGGTAAAAATAGATATTTGAAAAAGACTTGCGAAATTCTAGGAATATTACAAATTCTGAATCATGACTTATAATCTCCTTGATCTACTCTTCACATAGCAACAACAGGAATTCAAAATATTTGTACTGCAGAACACTATTTTCAAACGTTTAATTTTATACGTTCCATTTACAATTGGTGTGGACCATTGAAGCAACATTTTCACGTCTTTACACAAGTCCGATTTGAACTGCTCAGATTTAAACTTGTGAAGAACCACTAATTTTCGTAAGATTATAGATAGATATTGTTGACTATTTTTGACAACTTTTAATTTCATAACTTCCTGTCTATTGTTCTAGATTATACAAAATGGTAGGTATATATTTACTTTTATCGAGAGTATGGGATAAATAAGTGAAAAAACGATTGTATTATTGTTCTAACCAATATATTTATAATTACTTTATATAGACAGTAACTCTCTGTTAGTGCTGAAATAAGTATTAATGATGACAAATTGTTTATTGTATTTCAAATCGTAATAGACAGGTTATTGACTTCGATATATGATGTTGATATACTGAAAGTTACCTACCTTCTCCGCTTTGAGAAAAGTCATTACATTAGTTTATATTCTTAATAACTGTGGATCATACACAATATTAGAATGAAATTATGTTGAAGTAGTTAGAAATGAAATGGTAAACCTCAGGTTGACAGTCGGTCGAATTAAGAAAACCTATTTAACCATAAAAATTCAGCTGTCATGGGTACAGTTGAATATTTGATGAAATTAAACTGAAATCAGTAAAATGTTTACTTATGCGGGTCATTTTATACAATGCACAGGTGTAGAATAAACAACCGTTGGGTGTCAGTGACCAACGGACACCTGTTTTTTCCTACTATTAGACACTTAAGCAGTATATACTCAAGACTCTATCAGTAATCAAACCTATAATTTCTTAGTTAGGTGATGAGTAAGTTGCCTTTGGACCATTCGCTTGTTGTAAATTTGTCAAAAAGTTCCATTTTTAATGAACTCATGACATTTAAACGTCATCAATTCCAGATTTTCGTGGAAAATTTGAATAGTATATGACTGAAGACAATAGTGCGTCAAAAATTTCATAGTATGTACTCTGAATATTATATAATGTAGTTTCGTTTTGAATGTCAACATTTAAGTTACTTATCAACATTCTTGTTTCAAAATAAAATTATGCAATTAATCGATCAAAAGAGAAGAGTGCCAAGCTATCGGCTAATTTAATATGGTAGTTATTTTGAGATAAGTAGGATTATAGTAGTATTTCATTTTGAATAGGCTTTATATAAAAAAAACTGTATTCTTACTCAAAAACTATTTCGATTAAACCGTTAAACTGAATTGCAACTACTCAACACACCTCCGGGAAAATATAGTTGATATCGTATATAAAACTGAGTAACAGGTTTACCAGAAAAATGCGTATTTCACAAAAATGACAGTAAAATATGAGGATATTGGTAGTCAATCAGGAGGCACGTATACCAAGTAAGACAAAATGCGCTCCGGAATTCCGTTGTTTAGCACAATTTACCTGTTCTGTGGATCATGTGTATCTTCTAAATAGCGTGTGAATCAATAAAAAGGACACCACTATAAGGAAGCATATGTTTTTGAATGCTTTCCATCAATAAATTGATACTAAAAGACTTTTGAACGGAAACTGAGGTAGAAACTAAATTGATTAAGCTAGTTTTGGAAAGCTTATATCAATAAATGATGCATATGTTATATTTCTACACTCAAAGCCCAATAAGTTACTCTAAAAACAACAAAATTGTTTAATTCAGCGGTAATGCTAATCATTGTGAATTAAATTTATTTACAGCCAATAGGAAGCATAAAAAATGACCAATCAAAATTTAACAGCAAATACCCAATCAATTTCATCCTAATTGATAACATTGGTTATGTCAGGTCATTTAGTGAAAAAAATAAATACGGTGCATTGTTCATCTATATTTTTCCTTATTGAAATTCATTTTTAAAAAATGATTGTCAATTTGAATTTAAATGTTTCTACCACAAAACTAACCAAACTCAATTGAATTATAAATATGGTTATAAAGTTACGTCTTTGCGCGCACAAAAGATGAGAAATATGTTCATGGTATTCATAAAATTATCAGAAATTGTTCACTTATTCTGAAATATAAACAGCTGGTTATTTTACTAAATTATTCTACCTTTCAGTGTGTTTGAATTTTACGTAAGTGACTAGTTTGCATTGTTAATAATAATATCAAATGTCTTGTCTTCCTTTCTCAGTAAAAAGTGTATTAATATATTTGTACTGTAACAGTGTCGTATGCTAAGAATCAATAACAGGGTTCGACTTCATAATTTCAAATGAATTGAGCATTGAGTGAATTAGTCCTAATAAAAAATCACATGTTTATGATATTTCAACGGGTGGAAAAATTGAATCTGTGGCATTTCGCTGCTGAGCACATATTACTTCTTCAGAGAATAGCTAAAAAAAGAAATAACCGATCTCAAACACCCAAAAAATATGCAGCACGAACCTTGAATACCATAAAATGTAATTACACCTCAAATGACTACAAACAACTTTTTTGACAATTCAGTTACGATTTTGTATATTGTTTGAGAAAACAACTTACATCAAGTCACAAAAGGAACAAAATTTAATTTTCTACTCATTCTGATATTGTATGTTATTTTTCATTACAATGCAATATAATACACTCAGTATTTAAACTTGAATTAGTATATTTCTTTTCAAGAACTCATGATTTGCTCAAATTGCCACTGAAACATATCGTCTGCTACTGATTAACAGTAGATAATACTAACTACAGTCGATTTAAATAATTCGATAGTTTAAACATTGATTAAAGGTTTATTATTTCATTGAATACTGTATAGTTCATTTTTCTCTTCTACACAAAAATATTACATAGTTCGAATGAAACTCTTATATGTAATTTATTATATTTACTATGGCGTCGACTGTAGTAAAAAAAATACTGAATAAATTCTTTCATGGTTGTAGGCTAAAATTAATTAGAATTATCGTTTATCAATGTCGATGTAAATAATCAATTTGTTTTCTTTACTATATTGTATCTTCATATGAGATTTTATGAATATTCAGTATCGACAAGGTTTTTTAGTGATTTATTATAAATTTTATAGGTTCATGATCAAATGTTAATTTTAACAAGAGTCTTTAACAAAACATACTTTCGTTGAATCAGTTCAACACAACATTAAAGATTATTTACCTTAGAATATATTTGGTATTTTGATAAAATGTATATTTTTGTTTTAGGGACTATAGTGTCTGTTTGACTGAACTTCACGTTATATACGGAAGTAAATACTATTGAAGTTTAATTTTCAAATTTATGTCGCCTCTTTTAATTCCATTAATCATACTTACATATTTACAAAGCTTATTCACTTACAATTTTTCTAATCTATTAAGATAGTTCAATGAGAATTTATTAAGTGTTATATGTCAAAGAAAATTACAAAAATGTCACGTTGTTGAGAAAGCAATAAGAAAAATTATTATAGAGGTTTTTGATATGAACACTGTTGACTACTATATAAGTTCTTTTAGGAAATAAGACGTATTCTAGAATTCATATTTAATATAACTGTTGTAAAACATCATAGATTTGACATGAAAGATGAAAATATTGAATAAATGTCTCAAAGAGGCCATAGATAATTTAAAATAGATATGTAACACTGAAATTAATCAGCAAAATAGTGATTGGTCGTAAAAATAAATTTTATCGTGAATGTACGTAGGCAATCTACCGATCAATAAAATGTTGAGTAGTTAATAATGGATACCTTCGTTGCACTACCTCTATAAATGTTCACTTAATGCACTAATACATTTTCAGACGAATTTTCAAGATAGCATCATTAAAACTATCTATTGTTTTTCTGTAAACACTTGAAAATCTGAATTTAGGCAACTGAAAGTAATTAGTTAAAATACTTGCATTTAGATTTCGCGATCATTAACATTCACAAATAAACAATATACACAATCTTGAGAAAACTGATGATATGGGTGAGATATCAGTTCGTGTTGTGCACTGTCTGTTAAATAGGTTATCACTAAACCAATTAGTCTTCAATTAGCCGGATGTAGATTTGAGAGATGAACACTGTTTGATCACTTAATGAAAATCAATGTACACCAGTATTTATATTAGCAGTAATCCTAGATATATGAATCGCATAATTTTTATCATTTGTATACAAACAAAAGGTAACGTGTTTGTGTCTAAATGCAGCAGAAGCTAAACAGGTGTAAGATGCATTAGATCCAGTTACTATTATTGAAAGTTGAAGAGCAACCTCTTAAGTTTTGAGCAATACAGAGTGAAAGTTTACTAGTTGTATAGTGAACGATAACACAAGTGGAGACACACCACAGTAGGTTAAAGATTATTCTATAATTTTTGTATTTATCATTCATCATTATTTTCCAAACGCTACCATGCTATACATGTCAAACTATATAGCTAACACTATTTACTATTACGATGAATGTCAATTGTGAATAATCGTTCTTTCATTTTCTTTTTTTCTAGACTTGTCAAAATATCAAGACGTTAATCAGCATAACACCAATACATCTCATCTTTAAACACACTATTGAATATTTTCTTGAACATTTGATAAGTAATAATTAATCAGAACTTTTAAAAAATTCTGTAAATTTCGATGTTTCACACTGAATTACTAGCTGTGATCTTCTTATGTTTAGTAATATTTTTCATAGCTCTTTGGTATTTAATATTTTATCCCGATTCAAGACAGATTATGAAACGTACAAGACGTGTAAAATCTATGAATAAACAGTCAAATAATAAAGACGCAAGAAAAGAAATTGCCCGACTTTATAGCTTCGATAAGAATGCCTATCAAGAGACGAATCTTTATTCATGTGGTATTAGTAGTACTGAACATTCGAAATGTGATTCATTTGGTAATGCAAGTTTAAAAACAATCAAAGAAATGATGAGATCTAAAGAAAGACAACAAAGATACAGTTTACAACAAATGTCATCATATCAATCAAATGAGAATGATCATAGATTACCAGTCGCCAGTGATAAAAAAACTAAACTTATTTTTGGTTTAGATAATCCACCATTGAATATCACTAAACTTCAAATGGTACAACCAGATTATAATTTAGTTACAAAGAAAGGGAAATTAATTCGAGCATTCTCTGAAAGTTGTACGACTAAATGTGCAAGTCACACTAGTAGTATCGATCACGAGAATGGTGAGATAAGTGACAATAAAACATCAACATCATCCGATAAAGAAACACAAAAAGGAATTTATTTAGCAAAGTTAAGTGGTTCAGATCTTGCCAGAAACTTACAGCCTTGGCCAAACCGTACAAAATTCAAATCATTATTTCGAAGTGAAAAATCATTATCATCATCAAGTGAATCTGTATGGTCGGAGGTTAAACGTCGCTTAAGTAGTACTGAAAAAGTTTTCGACCCTGTTATGCGTATTTTGTCTACAGTACCACTGAAAAATCAAACAGATTTAGACAATACATGGACAAATTTCACAATGAACCCAGATACAAATGGACACATATGCTTTTCATTGGCGTATACATGCACTGTTGGAATACTGAATATAACAATTAACCGATTAATTGGTGTTAGTAATCTTATTAAAAGTTCAAATATTTTACCAAGTCAATCACCAACTAATTTTGTTGTAAGTTTACGTTTAAGACACAATAAAAGTTCTACAATTTACACTGAAGCACACGATGAAGACGATGAAGGGAGAATAAATTCACGTAATAAAAGTGAAGGTTTTCATAAAAATTATTTCACACAACCAGTTTTAACTTCATTAAACCCAAATTTCGATCAATCATTCCTATTTTCCGTCACAATGAACGAATTAGATAGTACTGAATTAGTTTTGACGGTATTACAGTCAACAACAGTGAATAGTTCTACTGATGAATTTGCCAACTTAAATGATAATAGAATACCAAGACGTAATAATTCCGTCGTCTCATGTCATCATTCATATCCCTATGGAAATGATAGATGTTCACGCAGAATGAATATGATATCTGAGGAGATGAGATGTATTGGTGTAACATTTTACAAATTAAACCAACATGAATTAATTAATTGTCCCGAAAAAATGCAAAATATTTGGCAGGAATTACGCAAATTACCAGAGTTACAAAGTAGACAGTCGAAAATAGCAAGTTGTGATAACAATGATTCGATAAGTGGTCCAGTAAATTACAAATTATATCCATTCATTACGGAAAATGAGGATCGTCAAAAAAATGAGTTCGGGGATGGAAAAACTTTGGTAAATGATGTATTATATTACTCAAATGTTTTCAAGTAGTCATCAAAGATTATTTACACTTTATAAGTATTTCTGATCGATTGACTAGTTTTAATAGTAATAGTAATAAATGAGAAAGCAGTCAACTATTCTCAACAATTTCAGAAGAAGGTATCCTTCAGAACATTTTAAAAAAAATGTATGAAAGAGAATCGATGATGAGTTGATGCATAAGGATGATTGGTTGCACAAATCATGAATCACGGATTCCATATGAATATTGGTGAGATGTCTTCCATAATCGTGAAGGATTAAACGATAACCAGTCGTAGTAGCACATTTAAGTGTATTTTATAAAATGCACTAATGGAAACGTTCTAACTTACCTTAGAGAATCATAGACACTTTAATAACACTTTCCCATTTCTAGTTATACGACTCAGCTATGGTGTTTAATACAAAAACCAGTGTTAAACAATTTGTTTAAAATGGCTGACTAATGTTTATGCAGAATACATATTCTTTTACTGTGACTACAATTAATAACAAGTGTAATTTGAATAAATAATTACCAATTTGTTAAAGCCATGCTTTCAGAGATCGCTCAGGGAACGTAAATATTATACGATGTAAATACCGATCAGTAAAATACAAAATTAAACAACTAACATTCTAACCGTTTATTAAAATTTTTTCAGGTAAGGTTGTATAGTGGCTAACAGTGGAATCCAGGACGCGCGTTTCGTCTCCCTTGGGACTCGTCAGCTGGATGTACCTGCTAGCCACTATCCATCTTTGCTTATATAGCTTGTGAATTAAGGCAACATCGAGGCTATACGCTCAGTATGCACATATGTCAATAACAGACTGACCAACTGCAGTCTTAAATCTCCATCAGAAGATTGAAGCAAAACGATACCAAGTGAATTCTTTTCAGGTAGTTTAGATATTCAAATTTATTTCAACAGATTATTTCATCAGTTCTGTGCTGCAAAGTGTAATGAGACCAATTAACCAAAAGTAGTTTTACTTACAGATAACTACTAAGTTACTAAACCAAACCTCAACGAATATTATTTTTTTACACTCAACTATTTCAAAATTAGACTAGTCTTTTTTATACATAATTACGTGTGATTATATCTGCTATCGCTTTTGAGTTAAATCAGCCACATTTGTCACAGATTTTAGTTACTTCAGAGCATCAGGAATTCTTTCATGTAAATAT